AGCGGCCGTCCGGCCTCGTCCCAGCGCCGTGGGGAGGGGTGTGGGGTCCCCACCTCCCGGAGGGGTTGCGCGGCAGAGCCCCCTCCCCGCGCCCGTGGGGGGATCTCTCTGGGGACCCCCACTCACCTACCGCCTCACTTTGCCTCGCAGCGTGCAGCCGCTGAGCTCGCCCTCCGCCTTCCTGGGCAGCAGCCCCGCGGACCCGTGTGCGAGAGAGACCGTGCTGAACGCCATCAGGGAGAGCAGGAAGAGGGCTGTGGAGGAGGAGGAGGAGGACCAGGCTTCTGGGGACGAGCAGGAGAGCAAGAGAAAGTAATAAGCCAACCCTCCAGGTCGCTGCTGATGTGTTGGGAAGGTGGTAAATGGGGCTAGCGCTTCAGTGGTGACAAACGGGACGTGTCCCCGAGCGCACCAGGCCCGCTGGGACCAGGAGTCTGGGTTGGAAAAGTGCTGTGGGAAGTGAACTGCAGAGGGGAAGCACACTCCATCACCCGGCCCTCTGGGCTGTGTCCCAGAGTCCTTCGAGAGTTCTTTTTATCCTTGAGGTTTTTGTCTGGGCAAGTTCATGGGTCATGCATGTTCCCCTGCATTGCTGGAGTTGGGAGAAGCTGGGATGTGGTTTGGGGAAGTCTGGCCAGGCTCCCTGGCAGGAAAGTGGCTTCAGTCCTCCCAGGGGTTTGCAGACTGGGGAAACGTGGTGGGGAATGCTGGTGTCTGCTGTAGGCTCGTCGTCTAGCCTTCAGTCAGGCCCAGGCTTCCAGGAGAGACGGGATCCCTGAGTCTCCCAGCCCTGCGTGGAAGCATCGCACTTTAAAAGATTCGCAGGCTTCCTTTGTGCGATGTAGCTAGCAAAAGGAGGTAAAAACACAAGAATAAACAAGTGAGACTATCTTCTGCTTTTGTTAGTCAAGGTCAGTGATTTCTGTCTGTGAGGTTGAAGAAATAAGGGTGCAGTGTCTTTGCTAGCACTCTGGGAAGGACAAGGTGTAAATCCTGGGTGCCAGGCTCTGCCGGAGTCTTTCTAACTGCTTGGGCACGATGCTGCCTTGCTGTTCTCCCCTCCTGTTTTTTGTCCTTCCCACTCATGTACGTAGAGGCTGTTTGCCTCGTGCTCCTCTTGTGCCGGGGCTGCCTGCCTGGGTTTGAGCAGGGGAGCTGAGAGAACGCAGAAGAGTGATTTGGGCAGTGCCCGGGCGCTTTGCCCCATGTGGTGCCTGGGGGCTGCTGCTGGAGGTGGCCCTGAGAGCGCAGCAGGATGAGCGGCGGTTTGCAGGGAGCCACCGGCTGCCTTCCTGCTGCAGCAGGGCATGCCATCCCTTCCTCTGTCACCGGACTTCCCTCTGCCTTCGCACCTCGGCTTGATGGATCTGAGCCCCACAAGAGCTGAGCAGGATGACAACAGGATGGGTGCACAGACACGATCAGTTCGGTGTTTATTCTATTTTTTAACATGCTGATACTCAGCTGTGCCACAAAAGCCAATTTTGAAGGCATTAAAGCCTGGCAAGCATGAAGAATGCTTGTAGGCAGAAAATCCTGTGACCTTTGAGGGCAGAAAGGAGCCTGTGTCAGCTGGAGAGCACTGGATCGCCTGTGTGATGGGGTTGGCGTGCTTGAGCTCGAGGGAAGCGCTTGGGCTGAGTGACAGGGCTGATCGTGCACCTCCATCTCTGCTTCCCAACACAGGTTGCTTTAAGACTTTCAGACTTCGAATCTTCACTGAGTCATTGTGGGAAAGGGGATTCAGTTTCTGACTTAAACAGTCCAGGGCACTGGCTAGGAAGTGGTAGGAGATGTGAATTTCGGAGCTCAGGTCTGTTCCAGAAGTGAGCTGCTGAGACTCTCTGAAATGTTTTGTCTTAGAATATCGGATTTGAGCAAAGATTTTGTTATCTCAGAACCACACTGACTGGTGGAGCTGCTGGTGCTTGGAAGGAGGCAGCTCAGGGTGAGAGTCAGTGAGGACAGGACCAGGTGGAGAGAAAATCCGCAGCAGGATGTGGATGGGGAAAACCTTGTCCTTGGGTACTGGGTGACAGGAAAAAAGCAAGGTTTGTGCTTTCTCAGTGCTGAGCCCGCCTAGAAGGGGTCTGCTCCGGGGCTGGGGGGACAGCCCCCGTCACTGCTGCCTCCACATTCCCACAGGTCTCTGCCCTCTCTCCCGCAGGCGCCACGACAGCAGTGGGAGCGGGCAGTCAGCCTTTGAGCCACTGGTCGCCAATGGGGCCCCCACCTCTCTCATACCCAAGTAAGTGCCCATCGGGCCAAAAGCCACCACTGGGAGCTGGGAGGGCGGGTCCAAAAGCCTGCAGGCTCTGGAGAAGGCGCTTGGATTTTGCTCGCAGAGCCCAGCTTCAGAGGAGAGGTGGCTGCAGGAGCTGTGCTGCTGCCGGCGCCTCTTGCCGAGCCCCGCGCTGTGATAAGGAGTGGGGTTGCTTTCCTCATCCGCCCTGTGTTTAAAGGACCTGTGGGCAGAGGGGAGGGGAGCTCATAAAATCTTCTTGAACCTCCTCTAGGCCTGGTTCTCTGAAGAGGGGCCTTGTCTCACACTGCCCAGACGACTGCTCAAACAAGAGGTCGCGCACCTCTTCCATGAGCTCCCTCAACAATACGTACGCCAGTGGGATCCCCAGCTCCACCCGCAATGCCATACTCCAGCGGCGGCCTCTCCCAGGTAGGAAATACCCTGCTGAGGGCAGCACCGGAGTCCAGCACAGAGCAGCTCGACCCTCCTCGTGGAACTCAAATCCCAGGCTCATAAGGAGAGTGTGATGCGGCTGGGTGCCTGGCAGCGAGCGTTGCGGGGCGGCTCCGGTGCGGCTCGGCCCGGCAGTGCCATCTCTGCCTGGGTCAGGCTGG